GAAGCGGTTATTCTTGAAGGATACGAAAGGCTCAGAAATAATAGTGACTGGTGAAAAAGTGAAGTCACCGTTCAATATGATATCAGTAATGACGGAAAAGAAAATGATGTTGGAATGATGTATAACTTTTCTAGCAAACGTAATAGACACTCGAATATCAGAAGTGAGATTAGATGATATTCTAACAATTAAGAAGTTTCCGGATGTTTTTCTGGAAGAGTTACCGGGATTACCTCCAGAAAGCGAGGTGGAATTCCAGATTGATGTTTACTCGGGTATTGAACCTGTTTCTATGACTCCATATCTAATGACTCCAACAGAGTTAAGAGAATTAAATGCCCAATTGCAGGAGATGCTTAACAAGGGATTTATCAGACCCAGTGTTTCTCCTTGGGGAGCACTTGTGCTTTTTGTGAAAAAGAAGTACGAGTTTATGCAATTATGCATAGATTGTCGTCAGTTAAATAAAGTAACAATAAAGAATAAATATCCTCTTCCGAGGATTGATGATCTATTCAGTCAACTGAAAGGTGCGACATTGTTCTCTAAGATATATCTGATGTTAGTATACCACCAATTAAAGATTAAAGAGGAGGATATTTCAAAAACAACTTTTCAGACTCGGTATGGATATTACAAATTTGTGGTGATGCCATTCGGATTGACTAATGCTCCTGCAACATTTATGGATTTGATGAATCTAGTATTCCAACCCTAACTGGATCATTTTATGGTGGTATTTATCGATGATATTTTGGTGTATTCAAAGTCAATAGAGGAGCATGATGTTTATCTTCATGTTGTCCTTCAGACTCTTCGAGAGAAGAAGATGTAAGCTAAATTATCCATGTGTGAATTATGGTTAGCTGAGGTTATTTTCCTTGGCCATATAGTCTTCGCAAAAGGCATAAGGATATATCCCAAAAATATTCAAGCTATAGTGGATTGGTAACCCCTAAATTTTTTTTGAAGTTCAGAGTTTCTTGGGGCTTGCTGGTTATTATAGATGGTTCGTGAAGAACTTTTCAATATTAGCTTTGCCGCTAACTAAGTTGCTAAGGAAAGATGTTCCTTTTTTTGGTCTAAGAAATGCCACGAAATTTTTGAAATGCTAAAGAGGATTATAACAGAGGAACCAGTGCTCTTACAACTTGAGTCGGGTAAAGACAATGTCGTCTTCAGTGATACATCTCATAATGGATTGGGATGTACGCTTATGCAAGAGGGGAAAGTTGTGGCCTATTCCTCAAGACAGCTGAAAACTCATGAGAAAAATTACCTGACACATGATTTAGAATTGGCAGCGGTCGTGTTTGCTTTGAAAATTTGACGACATTATATGTATGGTGAGCGATGCCATATTTATACATATCAAAAGAGTCTAAAGTACTTGTTGACTAAAAAAGAACTAAATTTGAGACAGAGAAGATGGATCTAAATTTTAAAAGATTATGATGTGATCATCGATTATCATCCAGAGAATGCTAATGTGGTAGCGGATGTACTTAGCCGAAAGACTTTTGCAGCTTTATGGGCTTTGGATACACGTATGTCTTTAAGGGAAGATGACGTCTTAATTGTTGAACTTAAGTTAAAGCTGACGCTCTTGGGTCGGATAAAAGAGCTACAAGGACAAGATGTAAAATATTTGGCAAGAATTGCGTAAGTAGAAAAATGTGTGGCTAAAGACTTCAAAATAAGGACTGATGGATGTTTATATTATCGTAGAAGACTTTGCATTCCAGATAATGAAGAACTGAAGAAAGATATTCTTTCCGAGGCACATTATAGTCCTTTAACGATGCATCTAGGCGGGAATAAGATGTATTATGATGTAAAGAGTCGTTATTGGTGGCCTGAGATGAAAAGAATTGTATCAAAGTTTGTTACAAAATGCCTTACATGTCAGCAAGTGAAAGCTGAACATCAAATGCCTTCCGGATTACTACAACCGATATCTATTCCCGAGTGGAAGTGGTAACGAATTACGATGGATTTTGTTTCAGGGCTACCTTTGACTCCCAATAAAAAAGACTCGATATGGGTAATCGTAGACATATTGACCAAGACTAACTCGCTTCATTCTAGTTTAGGTAGATTACTCGATGGATAAATATGTAGAGTTATATATAAAAGAGATAGTTCGGCTGCATGGAGTACCAGTTTCGATTGTATCCTACAGAGATCCCAGGTTTACTTCGAGATTCTGGAAGTCCTTGCATGAGGCATTATGTACTCGATTGAATTTCAGTACGGCTTTTCATCCGCAAATAGATGGTCAATCAGGGAGAAATATTCCGATATTGGAGGATATGCTAATAGCATGCGTGATTGAATTCAAAGGATCATGGGAAAGATATTTGTCTTTAGCGGAATTTACTTATAGTAACAGTTACCAATCGAGTATTAAGATGGCCCTGTATGAATCCTTGTATAGAAGGAAGTACAAAACACCCTTAAATTGGTTTGAATTAAAATATTGAGATCTGGGGGGCCCGAATTTAATGAAAGAAATGTAAGATAAAGTGAAAGTCATCAAGAATAACCTTAAGATAGTCTCTGATCGACAAAATTCTTATGATGATCTAAAAAGAAAAGGGATTGAATATTACGTGAGGGATAAGGTATTTCTGAAAGTAACGCCTTGGAAGAAAGTATTGCGGTTTGGACGCAAAGGAAACCTGAGTCTGAGATTTATTGGACTTTATGAAATTCTAAAAAGGGTAGGACCAGTAGTTTATCAGTTAACTTTGCCTCCCGATATGAATAAGATCCATAATGTTTTTCATGTTTCGATGCTCAGGAAGTACCGATCAAATCCAACACATATCATCACACCAAAGGAAATAGAGATCCATCCATATTTGACTTACGAGGAAGAATCAGTGCGGATCTTGGCTCAAGAAAATAAATAATTGCGTAACAAGAAGTTTCCTCTAGTTAAAGTACTTTGGCAAAATTATAAAGTCGAGGAAGCTACTTGGGAAAAAGAGGAGGACATGAGGAAGCAGTTTTTACACCTCTTCACATCATGTATGTCTTAAAATTTGAGGACAAATTTTCTTAAAGGGTAGGATTGTAATACCCCAATTTTCGGGTAAGTGATCATAGTGAAAGAATTTAAAATTTAGTGGGTTAAATTAAGTAAATTGAAAAGTATGAGGAATGGTTTAGGAAATGGTTTTTGAGACTTATTAGTAAGAATGGAAGAATGGAGGGGAAATTTAGTCATTTAGATGTAATGAATTTAATATTCATTTAATTGGGTTATTTAATAAAAGTTAATAGGAGAATAAGAGGATAAGTTCTGTTGGTTCTCTCATATTCTTCTTCCTCGCGTCCCGAGCCCCCCATAGCAAATGTAAGGCTTCATCTAGTTAGTTTTTCCTTTCGTTTTTGGGTTGGTTATGAAACTTTAAGTGTTATAGAGGCTTAAGGAAAATTCAAGGAGGGTTAAAACTAAAAGATGAAGGATTTATTTGAGATTTAAGAAAATGAATATTTAAATGATTTGATGAAATTTGGTTTGATATTGAAGTTTAAAAGTATATTTGACTTGCCAAAGAGGTAAATATTCATTTGCCGTCTAAATTGATTTTATCACCTTCTATTAATTTATCATTTTTCTCAAAATATACTTAAAATTTATAGAATTAAATATAAAAAATTTGTCATATTTTTAGATTTAGAGAGTTTTTCAAACTTAAAGAGTTTAAAATATTTGTTAAAAATTTAAATATTAAATTAATAATATATCTCAAAATTAGTTTCATCAAATAATTATCGAAAGAGATTATAATATGATAAGATCGAATCTTTAGACAAATTTTTATTGAGAAAAGGTTCCTCACGGACGGATGGGCTTACCGGCGCCCATCCACTAATACCACCATGGTCGTCAATGCTTTGCATATTGAAGCGTATTACTGATATTTGGAATGAACTCATTGTAGCTCAAGTACAAACTTTGCTATGTGTTGTTGCATTTTTAAGTGCCAGATTCAGTGGCTTTGGTCAATCTATAAAAGTGACCACAATGTACGTTCCCAGTGTAAAAATTGCAGACGTGATCCGACCCTGTTATTCCAATGTACACTTGATTTTTGTACGCAAATATGATTGTTGATACACGTATGGGGTGAATTTAAAAGATTTCAGTCTTCTCTGCTTTATAAGTTTTGGCCATCTTCCAATGAGTTTATGATTAGGATGAAACATATTTGGAATGTTTCCTTTTCGTATAACAAAACTTGTTTTTTCAGCTTTTCAACGCATCTTAGAAAGTGTTAAATAAATATTTCGAATTCAAAATATTACTGATTTAGTAAAGAATGCATGATTAAATTTTCTATACCATCCAATGCGAGAATGATGAATTTTCTATAAAATTTCTTATAATGGAGAATTCACCAGATTTGAATGGAAAAGTGGGTTGGACTTTGGATTCCCTAGAAGTTTAGGTATTTGCTCCATGTTCATGACTGAATTGTGGGCTGTGTATGATGTTTTACGACGCATGAAGTTAGGGATACAGAAAAGTTATGATGGAGACATTGTTTGGAAGTGGTTCAACTATCCTGATCAAACTCTGGAGCATCATAGAGGACAACACTGGTAGATGGAGTTCATGCTCTGCATCACCTAGATTGGGAAGTACGTATTAGGCATATACGATAATAGCTAATGGAGTGACTGACTGCTTAGCACGACAGAGTCACGAGAGTCCAACCAGTGAGAGAATATTTCCGACACCGTCAGCTTGTATTGTTAGATTGCTACAGATGGATCGAGTAACCATGGATTAGCTGCTCCTTTTCTTGAAAAAAAAAAGTGGAAAAATTATCCGGAAGAATCTCTTCCAAGAAAAGTAAAAAAAGCATGACCCACTCAAGCTTCATCCGAAAGTGCAATGGGAAAGGGAGTCGCCCTTCTCCTAGATTAAAAATGAAGCATCGGTCACCGGCTAAAATGGGATGGTATCACATAACATAATTTGCCTGTTCAACCAGTTGATGACAAGTGATGGTATTACGTACGTGATGAACTAGTATACAACAACAATAATGTTAACAGACCTAGTGGCCATCGTCCATATACAAAATGAGAACATTGTACAAGATCAAAGTATCGGAGCATCGTTCATCTTTCCCCTGCAACAGAACTCCCATTGTCCCCAAATATTCCCGCTTCGAGTAGCCTTAAACTAAAATCACAATCACATTTCTAGTTGTCTAGAAGAATGACATGGCTTAATTTTACAGAATAGGGAGGGAGGATCCTTCCATCAACGAAATATACTCGCTTTCGTTGGACTTTGGGATGGAGTGGAAAAATACATTTTATCCGTCGCTATTTACAATATCTCAAATAGGTCTCGTTCTTGGAGGGGTGCCTGGTGTTTGAACATTTGGCAGTGAAGTTTGACGCCAAGGATCCAGAGTGTATTTTGGATTTGGCCTCGAAAAATTTGTGGAGAAATCACCCACGTTGTAATTGCTCTGTCCTACAAACTGATAAGCCGGATGAGGAGAAAGAAAATAACTCTTGTGGGCCGTACCGTGTCTTAATGGACTTGAGCAAGGAGACACGGGCAAAGATGTGATTGCTCTTGCATTATCTCTGTGCATATGAATATGTGTCAGGCAAGTTAGTTTAGAACTTCATGTCATATCTTTTTGAGTGCAGAAATGAAAGAAGATATCGTTAGCACCTTGGACTCCTTAAAGCTCTTGAAGTTGTAGTCCTTCCCCTTGTCTCATTATCTCCATCAAATGAGAGGATATTATTTCTACTGGACTGCATTTCTAAAATGGGCTGCTCAGAAAGTTAAAAATAACAGAGTTTAGCTTTAGTTACTGATAAGCAAACTTCAAGCACATATGTTCATTAATATATACAAGCTTAAATGGTGCGAAACAAGATAAAGGTATGGCTGCAACTATCAAAGAAATTGCATTGAAAATTGATGTATGTTTTAGAACTGTTACTTAAAAAGTGATCTGTCAATGTACCAATAAGTTCAGGATGTAGAGAAGATAAAGTCTATACAATCAGAGTAATAAAAGACATCAGAAAAAGAAGAAAGAGAAACAAGCATCTTAAGAATATACCGGAGTGCGACTTCCATCAAAAGTGTAAGGAAATGCATCCTTGGTTATGCTAATGTTAGCAACTCTTGTAGTTGCTTGGTCACAAATGAAAGGGTGATCTAGCAGTTGCAAGGCTGTAGGACGCGCTGACGGTTCCCTTTGCAAGCAAAGCCTTATGAAACTTTTGGCTTCACTAGAAAGGTGATTAGGAATCTCTGGCATATCTTTACTGTTTCCTATTTTAAATATTGCAGCCACCTGTTGAATTCAGAAATAACAGAAGGAATAATCCTATTTCCCAAACAGTTTGGAACTAGCAAGAAAAAGACATTATCTGAGAAATGTTAAAAGATAATATTATGTCGTACCCCTTCATACTGATGCCATGGTGGTTTAGATGTTGCCATTTCAAGTATAGTGCAGCCCAAGCTCCAGATATCCACTGCAAGGTTGTAGCCATTTGTATTCATTACAACCTGAAATCATGAAATATACACATAAGTGACCATACCTTGGAGAACTGGAGTAACCAAATGGGAAAAACAATTAGCAGCGAACTAGATGTTAAAGAGTTTAAAACATGAAAAAAGGGATTCTGTGATCATATAATTGAACGGAAGTGGAAAACAATACCTCAGGTGCCATCCAGTAAGGACTTCCCTTGAATGAAAGCATTGTACTGCAAGCTGTTATCTGGTTCAGAAAAAAAAATAACAATAAGTGGCCTGCTTTCCTCATTGACTAGGGATAAACTAAAGTATGGAGATGATATCAGTTTTTATCAGGTTTTGATTTGTTAATTTATGTCAGTCTTTACATAGGTTTTTAGTATTCATTCATAGGTTTCTTATGTGTTAGATTGACATCAAAGTCTAGATTTTCCATCTCAAGACTACAGTCAATTCTGTAAAGGTAAGCATTCAATTGGTGTTCAAGTGATCGTCTAAAGGATGATATATTCAAAATACAGTTTCATTTTATTCTCTGTTTTCTTTTCAACCAAAACTAGCATCACGTCAAACTGCCATTTAGTAGACACTTATTACTCTTGGTCACCACCTATTTTCCAGAGATACTAGCTTCAGTATTCTAGAATTAACCCGATTATCCCTAAGATGAGATAAGGTCCCATACATGTTTTGCCATGCCAAAGTCTGCCAACTTGATTTCACCAGTAGGATCTACTAATATGTTTGCCCCTTTTATGTCCCTGAAACAAAAAACACAGCTTTAAAACATAAGAAATTGATGCCGAATTTCCACACTACAGACAATTAATTATTCAAGTACCTATGCACTGTATTTCTTCCATGCAAGTAAGCAAGCCCGGAAAGAATTTGTCTCGTATAGTTTTGAATAACTGGTTCCTTGAAGGCACCATATTCTTGAAGCAATTTGTGGATTGAACCACCAGAGACATATTCCAAGTAAACTGAGAGTGCTTCTTCACCCTGAAAAATGACAAATTAGAATTATATGAGGCAAGGTACAATTATCTGGTATTTGGAAAAGGACTCCAATAGTCATTCTCCACTCCCCTTTCGTTTCAATTCATAATGCAATTGATCATTTGCTTGTCAGCAGAGTAAAAAAACCATACCAGATCGCTTCCATGGTATCTAACAATGTTTGGATGAGATAGCTGACTCAGCAAATTAATCTCCTGTTGATATTAAAAAGAACTAGAAAATCAGGCATTTATATGTGGCAACTTGTAAATGATCTCAATATCAACTGGTAAAATGAACAGAATGTGAAATCTGAACAAAGATTATGCATCATTAATAAGTGAGAATCAGACAACTATTACCTGGTTCAGTTGCTTTAGGCTTTCTTTTGATGTCTGATCATCAGATACGAGCCTGACTTCTTTTATAGCACACATCTGTCCACTTTCACTGTCGATCATGGATGCACAATACTCAGAGAAGTACAATGGAAAAAAGCTAAAAACATACTGACAATCTTGCATACTAGCAGGATTAATACAATGAATGCATCACAATAGCTAACTTCCGTGATCGATAAATCTAAATGACTTCATGACTCACAGCGTGTGAAGATTAACCGATACAGGAAGCAAGTCCTACCTATTAAATCCAAGGTAAACATGTCCGAAAGTTCCCCTCCCTAAGAGTCTACCTCTTCGCCATTTTGATAGAGTACAAGGTGTAGTTTCACTCACTCCACAAGCTCTTGAGCTGCTACTGCCAGGCAAGGAAGCAGAAGGACTAGTGGGAGAACCTGGTGGAAGAGGCAACTTATGACACACAGATTTCCCATCTTCTTTTCTCCCTGTAGGAGACTCTATACTCACTGCAGACAATTGATGATGAAGAGGTGACGTTGGGCTGGTCGGCCCTCTCAACCCCGGACCTGGGCTTCTTGACCTCATGCTCATTCTAGTTTCACCTTGGCCTCTGGGATCAATATATGACATGGAATTCAGTTAATGTCAGCTCTCTGAATATCATTACAGAAAATACTTCATTTGAGTGCGAATAACCCAATACCATACGACAATTTTGAATATTTAGCTCATTACAGACATGGTATGCCAATGGTGGTTCGTTTATGTATGTTAAAGTTTGATCCTTTGGTCAAAATTGTTTTAATAGTCATCAAATTCAGCGAAAATAGAATCATTACAATGAATCAGATTTAGAAAACCCAAATATTTTTTTCCCTAACTGTAAAGTAAACAAGTCTCTGACAGCCAAAAATAAATGAATATTCAGCTCCGAAAGCTGAAAACTATTAGCACATAGCAGACCCAAATGGATATATTGATAAAATTAATTAAACGAAAAAAAAGGAAGACGAAGAGGAAGTCATACTCTGACAACCCAAGAAAAGACAGAAAAACATATTTTTATTACTTAATCTACAACTGGTTTATATAAAAACAGTAACTAACCCAATATTAATTCAGAAATTTTAATATTAACAAATAATCTTTAAGAATTCAGATTCCAATACATGTTAGGGAGAAGAAGAACCTGTATGCGATGAATTGAACCGGATCATTTGCAAGATGATTATCGTCAGAAGAGCTATCACTTAAATCCGAAGGCGACGCGAATCCTAACCCGACGACATGATCACTTTGCATCGGTGAGACGGATGGTGTAGGCAAAGGGATCCCTATTTTCTCCCCTGAATCCGAATCGAAACCCGAAAACCCAGGTGACCCACCAACAACGCTGAAGTCCTTGCTGGCACGTGGCGAATTTCCGGTGGTTAAAACAAGGCCTCCTCCACTATCAAAGCTCTTTGGGTAGTTGTGGTTCTTTTCATCGGCGGCGGCTGCTGTTGCTTTCATTTTACCAGAAGAGCCGCCGCCGGTGGAAACGCCAGCAGCAACAGCATCTGTTTTGTTAGGCGAAAGCTGGGTTACTCCGATGCTGGTACCCCGTGGACTTCGATTTTGACTCTCTTCTTTGCTCTTACTCAACTTTTTACCCCACCAACCAGGCATTTTAAAAAAAATGAAATTATTTCTTCTCTAAGATGACGATGACGATGAACAAGAAGGAAAAGTTTTCGATTTGTTAAAAAGAATAGGTTTTATATTGTGAGGAGGAAACCGAGAGGAAATGAAGAGAAAGAATTAGGAGTTCAGATTGAAAGAGAAAGGTAGCGTTTTATATTTATTTACTTTTTTAATGTCTCTTTGTTTTATTATTGAACAATACTATAAAATTGTATTTTTAAATATAATATTGATGATAAAAATTAATTTTAAAATTTTAATATGATTATTAGAAGAATATGAAAATAATTTATAATAGCAAAACATATATGAAAATTTAAAAGTAAAGTATAAATGTTATATATTTCAATAATTATTAAAGATAGATTTAACTATATTTTATTTTATTAGTACAATAATATATATTTGAATTGAATAAAAATCTGACTTAAAAATTTTGTACCTACAGTTTTACAGTTTTTTTTAAATATATATACTTATTTTAATTTATTTAATTAATTTAGAATAATTTATTCAAAAAAAATGCTTTTCCGAAATTATTTTTTATGCAATATAATTAAACATATTTTATTTAAGTTCCAATTTCTTAAGTGCGCCAGTACTACAGTAAGAACTAACTAAGGGGGCGGCCGCAGGTGGTTGGATGATAAAAGGGAGAGGATGACGTGGCTTCTTTTTCAATTTATTATTATTTTTAAAATTTAGAAAATTATATGAAATAAATAGATTCAATCATATCAATGAATTTAGGGTAAATTGCACGTTTGGTGTTTCAATTGTCATTTTTTCAAAACATATTAACATTTGATTTTGATTTTGAATTTTCACGTACCCTTTACTTTTTCTTTTCTCCCTCAGCACGTTCTGAATTCTTTAAGAAGAAAATTCCAAAATTCTCTCCCTCTAAAAGATCATCTTTTTCAAACCTTCTACCCTTTTCCCCGATCATTTGACCTTTTTTCCTGACAACTAAACAACTGTGGGAAAACCACTATCAATTATACTCCTCTGTCTTTTTTACTTTTGAATCGGGGTTTCTGCTCTTCCCTACTACTGTGATTCCCGAAGAGGGGTTCAACAGTGAGAGCAATACGGGTAATGGTTTAGTGAGGCACTTCCGGATTCGCTCAGGTGAGAGGGAATTAGGGTTCTCTATGGAAGTTTTTTATAAGGGTCTAGGGTTTTGTACTAGATTTGAAGACTTTCTACTTGGTAATTTGGTTTCTATCTACCAAACTAGAGAAAAAAATTAGGTTTTAAAATGGTATATATGTGTTAGCCATGGTGAGGCTTCTAGGACTGAGTCGAGGAGAATCGGATGAGTCACCTCGTGAAATCACCACCTCGAGGACTACTCTAGCAAGAGACTCAGGTGAAAACGGGTGGCTCATCAGATTCTTTGACTCGTCGTTTTTCTGTGAGTGGATCGCCGTTAGCTATCTTTACAAACATGACCATGAAGGCGTACGAGATTATCTCTGTAACAGGATGTACAAGCTTCCATTATCTGGAATTGAAAACTATCTCTTCCAGACTTGTTACATGATGGTACATAAGCCAAGCCCTTCATTGGATAAGTTCGTTATTGATATGTGCTCAAAATCACTGAAAATGGCAATGAAGGTGCATGGGTTTTTGTTGGCGGAGTTAGAGGATTCTGATGATAATGAAGGGATTAATAGGATTCAAGAAAAGTGTCAAATTGTTGCTACTTTGACGGGTGAGTGGCCTCCCCTTGTGCTGCCACCCAATGCAGGTTCAAGTCCAGGGAGTAAAAATCAAGTTTTGAATCGATTCCTACCTTCAAAACAGCTGTTTTCGTCATTGACTTCACCTTCTCCACAGAGATCAATATCATTGTCCTCCCCCTCTTCAGGGAACCATTTGCAGGAAGATGGTAATCAATTGTTGTCCCTAAAAGAAAATAAATTTTTTAAAAAGTTTATTCCAAGTCCTAGAGTCAGAGATGCCTTGTCGTTTAGGAAGTCGGCTGAGAATGATGAAGAGGAGAATGAAAATGATGGTTTTTTCAAGAGGATTTTGAGGGACAACAGAGGGGGAGAGGATGAGGAGTTAACATCAAGTTCAGATGGGTTCTTTAAGAGGCTTCTAAAGGATAGTAAAGGAGAGGAGGAAGAAATGACATCAAGTTCTGATCACAACGGTTTTTTTAAGAAATTGTTTCGAGATAGTAAGAGTGATTCTGATGATAAATTGGTTTCTAAGCCAGCAGAAGATGATCAGAAAGAGGGATTCTTTAAGAAGTTATTTAAAGATAAATTTATGGATAAGAAAGATGTAAATGATAGAATTGATGATGCACGAATGGTGAACACAGAAGAAAGTGCTTCAAAATCAGGTGAAGATGGTGAAATGGATGGTTTTTTTCCGGAAACATTTCAAGGATAAATCTGAGGAAAAGATAGACGGGAATGATACGAATGATGATGTAAATGACTGAAGTGATGATGTACATATGGTGAACTCTGCAGAAAATGCTTCAAAATCAGGTGAATACGATGAAAAGGAGGGGTTTTTCAGGAAGCTTTTCAAGGATAAATCTGAGGGAGAGAAAGATGGGAATGATAAGAATGATGATGGTGAGGAAGAAGATTCTTCAGATTTCTCACTGTTCAGAAGACTGTTCAAAGTGCGCCCTGAAGAGAATAAAACTAGTACTACAAATGAATGCAGCAACAGTGACAGTTTGTTTGAGAGCAGTCCAGGGACTGAGAACTTCTTCCGCAAACTCTTTAGGGACCGGGATAGTTCAATCGAAGATTCTGAGCTGTTCAATTCAAAGAAGCATAAAGAGGTTTGTTTGCTTCTTTTTTTGTTGTTGTTGACATGTTTCCTTCATTCTTTAACGTCTGTTCACTTTTAGTCCTTTGATTTCCAATATGTGCACCAATGATAAATCAGCTTTCTGTGTTACATTCTTACCATTTATCCAAAATTCCTGAAATACACATTCCCACCTGACCGGTTTAAACAATCCTCACATCATATCATATGGATGGTCTTTTATGAACTCTGTGTTTTTAATTTGATGCAATCGACATTGCGAAAGATAAATATTGGATTATTTGTTTTATGTTGGGACCACAAGTGGGAAAAAATAGAGCTTTTCAGTTCTACCATTTGCTCTCTAGTTGCCAATCCCTAATGTATTATTAGTCTTTGTAGCTTTACAACAGTTTTTCACTCATAATCCCTAGTGTTATAAGTCTTCATCCAACCTATTATAATGTTTTTATATCCTTCAATGTATTATGAATCTGTGGTTTTAAAATCTGGATATCCTTCTCTTGATTAACATCTTGTAATATGTAATGATTAGAAAAGGTTATGGAAACCTCTTAGGAACATAAGGGATAGATAAGTTTGTTCTGCTTTCTATTCTTTGAAATTGTTGAACTTGAAATCTGTGTGATGTACCTGGAGATTACTTTGGCTGAACCAACTTATAGGCCTACTTAGAACATGACGGTAAATTATGTTTCTTTATTGAGATCTAGAGCACTAGACTTGATGAAATAGATTCACATTGTTAAGGAAATAAAGTATAATCCCCTCCCCTTTTGTAATTGATAAGCTGAATAACATTGAAGAAGAGCATAAATCTAAAGAATCCTAACGTGTAAAAACAGTATTAAAACAAGTTTTTCCATGTATTTGGAGGGTTATATCCTCCTACCTATATCCAAATGTGCATTTTGACATGGGTGTCGGATGGGGGTATTTCAAGAAAAATAAAGAAGAGTTGGAGTGACATAAGATGGACTATTATAATTAAATGATGGAAAAAAACCATAAAGGATATATGATGGTTTTTTTATACTGAGAAAATTTCCTTCATTTATTTTTGAAAAAGGATTTGAAGCATGTGTTTTACTTTTTTCGTGTGATTTTTCTGCTCTTTATTTTTCATTATTAGTGTTTTTTTACTGGAGTTGCTCCTGGGAATTTATGTTAATTTTCTGTGCTCACACTTTTGCAGAAGCATCCTTGTTCACCTAAGCAACAGAATGATAGATCGAACTCCAAACCCCCATTTCTAAATAGTTCTGTATCTCAATTACGAAAAAGGGCTTATCGTGATTCATTGGATTTTGTACTGTCATTATGTGACACATCATATGGCTTGGTGGATGTTTTTCCAATTGAAGTTATGAGGTGGTTTGCTCATTTCAAAGTTTAACCAATGTTTCACTTAATTAATATTCTTCTATGATTGTTATCTGACATGCTAATTTTTCTTGTCATTTTTGCCTCTTAGTCACTTGCAGAGATTAATTCGCATCTAGTTGAAGCTCAAAACAATGGAGGTACATATTTATTTACGATGAATTTGATCAAACCAATGGCATCGAGTGGCACTATTTATTATCTTTAATAAGTTTACTTGTGATTTTTAAAGCGGTCTAGATCGTGAATTGGTGACTAGAATTTACCACTATATGTTTACTAGTCAATTGGGTTATGACGTCTTAAATTCTTTTGTGATGTATAATCCATTTTGTAGTTTTTAATTGTTATATTCACTTGCGTATTCATGTGATCAGTTCAAAAGGGTAAACTTTTTGGCTTCTGTTGACAATGCTTTTGTTGTGGGGTCTTGTCTAATTAAAGAGGAAACCTATGTAACAACTTTAAGATGTTAGGGTCTTCTTTTTTTTTGTTGGAGTGCTAGACATTTTTTTCGAGGTTGAAATCTAGTTTAGGTTCTTGCTTTCTTTGAAATTTCAAGATGTTATATTCATTTGTGTATTCATTTGATCTGTTCGAAAGGGGTTAACTTTTTTGGCTTCTGTTGAAAATGTTTTTACTGCATCGTCTTGTCCATTAAAGAGGAAATCTATCTAACAATGTTAAGATGTTGGGATCTTCTTTCTGTTGGAGTGCTAGACATTTTTACTGTGGTTGAAATTTAGTTAGGTTCTTGGTTTCTCATTTTTATAACCGTTTCTTTGAAATCTTCTGTCAAGTGAATGCATCATTTAATTGATGTGTGAACTGTGAAGCATTTCATTTAGTTGGAAGCAA